GATGCTGCTACTCGATGACGGGTAGGGGACGATGAGAAAGGGAGGCGCAACTACTGGCAAAATGCTCGGTCTTTGCGTCAGCCAGACACCCATCGGCGGAGCCACCCCATCTCTGACTACCGCTGTTGGGGCGTTTGCGAGGCCCTGTGCTTGCAGGGGTCCCCTCTATATAATCTTAGGAGTAGTAGCGGTCGAAAAGTAGTGAAAGGCAAAAAGGATTTGCATCCAGCGGCCTAACTCGGTTGGTAAGGCACGCAAGTGGCATTTAGGAGGTTGTGGGTTCAATCCCCATTGACCTCATGTACCTTCCTGGGCATGCTTGGCGCTCGTCACCTAGAGATAGACCACTAGATCCCCTGATCGGCATTGCACAAAGTCTGCTGATGTTCGTAGGGGAGGGGACCTGAGGGGAGGCACAGGGATTGGTCATGTTGGCATGCCCCCTGATATCGGCTGTCCCGTAGCCGGTATATCGCCCGCCTGCAGGTCGGGAGCAACCACCACATGTTCTCTCGTAAACACGGTTCTGACTGCTACGGGGCTCTCCGTACTATGCCTACAATTAGGAGTAGTGGTAGGTAGGTAGTGTGAGGTGAAATTGAGAGAAGAACATAGCTTTGGAAAAAAAAAAAAAAAAAATTTGCGGGAAGAACATAGTGTGGTTAAAAAAAAAAAAAAAAAAACTGCAGACAGAAGGCCACAGAGGTGTGAACTGTTAATCATGCCAATCGGCGAATGGCGAGAGAATGACTTGGCGGCTCACCCACGTGTACTCGAAAGGCATAGGACGTCCTGCACCACGCTAACGTCCAAAATCCACCCTTACAACGTGGGAATAGAGTCTGCTGATGTTCGTAGGGGAGGGGACCTGAGGGGAGGCACAGGGATTGGTTCTGTTGGCATGGTCCCTAATACCGGCTGTCCCCTAGCCAGTATATCGCCCAGCTGCAGGTCAAGAGCAGCCACCGCATGTTCTCTCGTGAACACGGTTCTGGCTGCTATGGGGCTCCCCGTATGCCTACAATTAGGAGTAATGGTAGGTAGGTAGTGTGAGGTGAAATTGAGAAAAGAACATAGCTAGTATCTCTGCCAGTGTTGGGAAATTACAATGTAATGGTCTGTCCCCGAAGAAATCGGTGGTGGGACCCAGGGTTGAAGAGTCCCATAAATCTTAGTTTTCTTTTGCCTGCGCGTGAAAGAAAAAGGAAAAAAAAAAAAACTTATGTACTGCAATGATGTCGGGAAGGGTAGTGTAGGAGGCCGTGCTCACAGTCTTCCTCTACAGAATGCATCCTACAACAAAGACGGTCACATTCTGAAACTTATTGTTTCTTTTTTTTATTTCTCGTTTGTTTATTATGAGTCCCCTGCCAACGAGGCAAGGCAGAATCCCAGATTTGCGCTGGCTGTGTTTCCTCAGAGGATTGTAACCCTGATGTATCCAGCCATTTTCACGGGCGAATCCGTGTTTCCAGGGTTTTTTTTTTTTTTCTTTTTTTTTTTTGGAAAGCTTGTGAATATATTGCAAAAAAGGAAACAATGGGACAAGGCCGGGGACCTCACATTTCGACCTGGGGTTATCCTGACAGCCTCAGCCAGTTTCGCTTACGAGCATAGCTCGACCATCAAATACTTAAAGTATCTTCTCCGCAATACCGGCAATAGGATGGAAACCGGGTCCAACGTCCAATCATAAAAACACTTTCCAAAAAATTTATAACTTTGAAGCACAATGTAAAAAAAGGCAGAGGCTTATCAAGAGGGCGGAGGGAACAACATCCTCCCTATTTATTCTTAAGTAGCAGAAAGGGAAATCCCTATTCAACCACTAAAACCATGCTCACCACAACAAAGGCTCCTACAAAACCTAATGTCCTTGTTACATCGGGTCTATCTACGGGCCTAATCAATCGTGCGTATCTGAAAGCCAGGTACAAATAGTATAGCATCTCTCCTGGTTAAGGGAGACTAATCTATTGTTGCGGGCCCAGGTTTGTTGAAACCAAATAATGTTTTTCCTCTGCCAGTCCGCTCGGATTATCCTCCTGATGCTTAATTTGATCTGCCGTTGTTGTTGTGTCCTTGAGGTTTCTTCTCCTCTGAAAACCCTTGCATTACGGGCTGCCCAAATAGTCTGCATTAGTATTCCCCTACAGCAGACAGCAACATAGCCCCAATTCGAAGTGTAGTGCATGCCCTGAAGGAGAAGACCCGTGAGCATCCAAAAATCTGACCATTCAAAATCCTGGCCAGTTATGTTCTCCCTGTGTTCCTTCCACCACATTAGCAACTCGTCAGCTAGTGGGCAGTACAACCAGAGGTGGATCATAATCTCCCACCCCCAGTCACAACGCAGACACAGAGTTGGAACATCCATTCCATATTCTCTCAGCCCCAGTTACAATGCAGACACAGAGTTGGAACATCCATTCCCCTGGAGGACAACCACATTGTTGTGGATGTCACCATTAACGACTGTAACCACATGAGGCTGGCCTGCTCCTGCACCGGATATTTCGTGAGTGCCTTTTAAAAATTACAAAGTCGTTTCTCAGTAATGTGACGAACCACTTTCTGTAGCGCACGAGTTTCTGCGCAGGTTGCAACAAGGGGCCCTAAGCTGGGAAGATTGGGCCGCTTTCAGGAAATCGGGATCGGTGGAAAATTGCATCAGTACCTTTGCTTCTTCGTCTTTTTCGTCGCTTCTTCGGGGCTGGGTGTGTCCGGGTACGGCCGGTTGGGAGATTGGTCGGATGGATGTCTGGTGCGCCACCACGCGCGCGATTAATAAATGCTGACGACGTTTCTTTCATTTCCGGTTCGATCTTTTTGGGCGTGGACGTCGCGCGGGAAATTGTTTCGTTCTTTTTTAATTTCCTTTTGAATCTCTTTCGAATTTTGTCGAGCCCCGATGGCTCTCGGAATTTTGGACTTTCTTTCTGGAATGTATGCTTTTTGCTTTTTCGAACTAGATAGGAATTTAGGAATTTAGTAATTAGAACTTTTTCTGCCGCGCTGCGCCTTTTGTCTACGCGCTTTCTCATGCGGCTGCAACGGTACTCTGATTAGTGGGCGCCCTTAATCATGTGTGTAACTGCAATTTTGGGCGGGCGCCATTGTAAATGTATCTCTCTTTTTACACTTCGTCTCTCTCGCTCTCCCTCTCTTTCTTTTGCTCTGAGTCGCGGCTTGCATGCTCGGATCGATGCGTGGAGAAGGGTTATRTCCCCCACGCCGCAGCCGATCATGCAGAACGCAGGCGCTCCCTCCCTAATCCAGTCTAAGTCCTGGTAATTCCATGTTCTTCGCGCATGCATGCACGCTATAAATTTCGGTTGCGCGATTAGTCAGCTCTCTTGACCTGTTGTTGGAAGCTCGGGGTTGCGCGATCAGGAAGGGTCGGCACACGAGCGAAGTAAGAGGTGAGTAGAGTAGGAGTTGGGCGACCCGACGGGCTGGTGCCGAACGCGCGGGATTGACGTGGGCCACGACGGACTGTGGGCACGGGCGAATCCGACGGGTGCGGGAGGACTAAGCGGGGTGACAACTTCGTGGGTTGGTGCGTGACGACGGACTGTCCGCATCGGAGAGAGAGAGAGAGAAGGAGGGAGAGTTGAGGTCGATGGACGTGGATTTGCTGTTTCTTTGTCTCTTCCCCCTCTTCATCTGTGTACATACATTTTGATTACGACTCCGGGCGGTTTGCCCGTTCTCATTTTCGTTTTCGGCTTTCGGGAATCGAGACTTGGGTTTTTTTTTGCTCACACTTGTCCTTGCCTTTGTCCATCTCGGTTGCGTGACATTTATGATTACTGAGTGTATGGATGTATGGATGATATGCTTGCGCACCTATATCACTGCTGAGAATCCCGGTTCTTATCTTTTGTTTGTGTCGAATCTTTGCTCACACCTGATGCAGCTGTAGATGGGATAAGGATCTGGCACCGATGGCGATTTTGTCCTCGTTTTTGCTTATCTTGTGCTGGGGGGGGGGGGTTGTGATATGGTCGTATCTTGCACAATCCAAGGCAATTAAACGACATGAGGATTGACCCCACGAACGCCGCGCGAGAACACGTGTGAACGCTATCCGAGTCGTGCCCTTACACGCGTTCCCGTGCGTCGATCCGCTCACCCAAAAAGATTCATGGCGAAACCATCATCCCGTACAAGCACGGCGGCACTAGGGCTGCCTGCCCTGCGCGTACTTGTGCATGGTGATGACATCCCTACCGAGCTGACCCATCCACGATGATACCAAGACGCGATCTTGGAACTCAGACTCATCCTACGACCCAGACTATTTCACTCCTATGATAAATGAACTCATAAGGACGCGATATCCCAGTCACACGGAGAATCGGCTATGTCCGCGGAAATTTCACTGCGCCACCTCTAGCGACCCTCGGTGCTCTGATTTCCCTTCTCCCAACCACACCTACTACTTCACGCACCCGGGATTTGTTGTCATCACCACCAGTTTCCCTCCTTTCCGCCTTCTTCTCCCGTACCATCAACTCAGTGTCGTCCTGTGGCCGGCCATAGCCCCCTATTGGCCCAATACGTTTTGCGTGAACTGCCGACGTAGCGGCGAACAGAGAATTCCGGAATTTCGCAGGCCCAACCCAGGCGCGCGACGACCTGCGCCACGTGGCGGCCCCCGACGGCCTAACTTTTCGGGACCACCTCCACCGCGGAGGGATTTCCCCGTAACCCGTCGACCACCGTGTCCCGGCCCCTTTGGACCATGAGACCCTTGCGCGCGCACCTCTCATTCGCCTAATTGCATTCATACCCTTAAGACTCCCCCACTTTCCTAAAAATCCTTGGCACACCCCTTTTCGCACTTCTAGGCCCACATCCCACTCCGATTAGGAAGTCGCGCTTGGCGTGAGGTTGGTATCGGAGCTCGACACGTGCCTAGGGTCTTAGGATTGATAGCACGTTAATTAGGCGACCTGGCTAGCCGTGGGCGACCTCGCCCTCGGAACGCGTATAGGCGCGACCCTATCGTCACCAGAAGCAGAGCGGTTAACCGACGAACAACCAATATGGCGGCCAACGTGCAAATTCCGGCTCCGCAACAAAATGCTAACCAACCTGCCCCACGTGCACGAGCTCCCATGTTGCCACCAGATCTCTATCTATTTGATCCGGCGCACCATCTCGTAGGAGCATGGTTGGCCACGCTTAGAGCACAGCAGTACGATGATCACGAAGCACAGATCAACATTCCGGCTCGAATGGGAGGAGACGCTCATCATTGGTACAATACCTATGTATGGGTGGATCTTCCGACCTTCGAACGGGATTTCATGAACCGATTTGATTATGTTCACCCTGAACAGGCATTGTACATGATCAAGGACCGAGTGCAAAAACCGCTCGAATCCGTTGCGGAATATCGAAACCGGTTCTACAGGATGTTCGTAAAAACTGAGCGAGGTGAGCAAGTAGGGAGAGATCTGTTCATTGACGGACTCCGCAGTCGAACAATAAGGACTAAGTTGCGAAAGCAGTTTTCCCCCATCACTCGTACGCTACAGCAAATTATGGCTGCCGCGGAAGAAATGGAACGGAAGTTCGTCGCGAACTTCCTGGAAGGAGAAGACTACCCTAGAGACGGAGATTTGACCGAGCTCGTACGAGCAAGAGCAGAACTGAGTGCTTTGCAGAACAAATTTGAAAACATGGGATTTGTATCAGGACCTGTCATTTATATGGAATAGATAGGCCCCAAGCAAGTAATCCTAAGCGAGACTCCGAGCATCTCTGCTCCTATGATACCCCCGCCCGTTAGGGCATTACCCCCGCCACAGGTTGAGGCTCCCGTAAGATCGAATGAATCAGCGGCCGTTTTCGAACTAACCAAAATCCTGATTAGTTTAATCCAAGAAAGCAAGAAAGAACAGCGAGAGCACAATGCTCGACTGGAAACCATGATGAGGAGCATGCGACCTATTGCGGTGCGTGCCCCTCCGATGCAACAAGGATTAGCTCCTGCCCTGGCTCTCGGAGGAGCTGCGAACAATCTGAATGTTTGCTACGCCTGTCATCAGCCCGGACACCTAGCCCGTGATTGCCCCCACCGACCCCCACAACAACGGATGGAAGTCGCACCTATGGCTGCGGCCCCCATCGTCAACGGACCTAGACGAGTCGGAGCCTTGATGGAAGAAGTAGATGGTGGGGGAAGTGCCCTGGCCACCGCGGAAGAGGCCGCCGAGCAAATTCCGCTAGATCAGTATGTGTCGCTGGGATATCCTGGGCTAGGAATGATCGGAACAATCAGACAAGCGCCAGAACTGAGAGAGGTGGCGGAGTGGCGACTGTCCTTAGGAGAAATGGAGTCAGGAGGACCCACCTTCGTCACAGGAGAGATCGATGTATTAAACATCATCCGAGCTTTGGACCATCGGATTCCACAATCAATCGGTCATCTACTCTCCATCTCCGAGCAAGCCAACGAGCGAATGCTACAGCATTGCAAAGCAAACCGAAAACGATTTTCCCTCGTCCGAACACCAAGTGCCAAAGCAAAAGGCCCCGCGCCGGAAGAAAACCCAACGAGCACTCCGGACCCAATACGGGTGGGATTAATTCAGAAAGACGATCACTTCTTACGGATTAAACCGATTCCGTGGAAGTCCGTGGAATGTGATATTGAAATTTGGGGAATTCCTTACAACGCGATAATAGATTCAGGAGCAGTTGTGTTGGCTATCTCACTAAGAGTGGTCGAAAGGGCTGGCAGGAAAAACGACCTGATCATGCTTTCTGAGAAAGATCAGCTTGTTTCGACTGACGAAGAAAGGATTAAAACTGTAGGAAGAATTACCAATGTCGCCTTCCGCTTGGGTAAAGTGCACGCTCTTGGGGATGTCGTAGTACTAGATGTCAATACGTACGACGTTCTCTTTGGACTTCCCGCTCTTGTGGCGTTACGAGCAAACCTGGATTTCGAACGACGATTGTTCGTCCTCCGAAATACAGGAGGAAAACCCTACGCTGTGCCCATGCGATTGACCCTTCGCACTACCCTTAACGCGGTTCCACGGGTTTCGCCGATGATGGCAGGGACTCTCCGCATGATCTTCTGGGATGAACCCGCCGGGGAGAAGTCATCAACTGATGAGACGGAAAGCAGTGACGAAGATGATCCAGAGATCTTGAAATTAGCACGACAGCGTGTTTGTTACCCTCCGCCCAAAACGATAGCGAGAACGATGCAACTAACCAGCCAAAAAATTCAAAGAACCAAGGCGATGATCTTGGGAGAGCCCCTCGTGCAGATTTCGAGGATGGTAGACTCTTTGGAACCCCCTCAGACTCTGTATGAAGGGATCACCCCTCTCCTCGCCAGGTAAAGCGACAAGAAGCATTACTGTGATATTACCGATCCACCCAAGTCCTTACTAACATCAGCTAAAGAAGTGAGATTGTTACGCTTGGGGGCGGAGGCAAGCTCTCTGGAACCCCCTGGGCGTTTTGAAGCAGAAACAGACGGACTAGGGATAAAGATTGCAACTAAAGAAGTGTCGTGGCAGGATGTTTGTGATGGGATTACCCCGGAAGAACACGTGGCCATCCGGGAAGAAGATGCTCAGATGAAGGTCACGGTGTTCTCCTGGCGATCGGACCATTCATTCATCTCGGCGCCTCCACCCGACTTGACAAAACAGGCAAATATGAAACAGATCGACGTTCGGATCAGGGACCAACCTTTCGAACTGCACGTTCCACAGTATGTACCAGATGAAATCCACCGGGTAATTGCGAATATTCGAACGGAATATCAAGGAGCGATTAGTGTGTCAGACACTTACATTGGGTTGTCGTTAGTAATCCAACATGAAATTCAGACAGGAAATCACTCCCCGATTCATTGCAAACCTTATCGATATTCCTTGATTGAACGCAAAAAAGGCTCTCGAACGAATTCGGGAATTCGAAGCCAGCGGTTGGATTGAACCCGCTACCGGACCTTGGTCTTTTCCCGTAGTATTAGTACTGAAGAAAAACGGAGCAATTCGCATTTGCATTGATTATCGCAAGCTGAATGAACTCACGATCAAAGATGTGTATCCCCTCCCCCGGATTGATNCTCCCCCGGATTGATGATTTGTTGGATGCGATTGGGTGTGCTAATTATTTCAGCAAGTTTGACATTCGGCATGGTTTCCATCATATTCTAGTAAGAGATGAAGATCGGCCGAAAACGGCATTTGTGTTGTTTGAGGGCACGTGGCAGTGGGTTCGGTGTCCGATGGGGATTTGCAATGCGCCTGCCACGTTTCAGCGAGCGATGAACATGACGTTCCAGAACTTCGTCAACAAGACACGGCTAACGCAGGGAATGATTAACTTTTGCGTGATCGTGTACATGGACGACATCCTGGTCTATTCGGAGATCTATCACGGACACGCGCAACACATCGAATGGACATCGAGTGCATTAAGAGACGCTGGGTTCAAGATTGCGCTTGTTAAGAGCGAATTTTTCCTCTCGGAAATTTCGTTCTTAAGCTATATCGTGACACGTGGAGGATTGCGGCCAGACTCGAGAAAAGTCGCGGCGGTGAAGGAAGCTCCGGTTCCCACGTCACTGACGCAGGTTTGAGCCTTCTTAGGATTGGCGTCGTATTACCGGCGTTTCATCAAGGGCTTTGCCGCGATTGCACGACCACTAACGAATCTGTTACGAAAGGACCAGCCTCTCAGCTGGGACGCGGAGTGCCAACAGGCTTTTGCAACCCTCAAGGACGCTCTGGCAACGACCCCTATTTTTATTCGACCGGACCCTTCGAAGCAGTTCATTCTCATCACGGACTGGCAACCCGAAGCTATCTCCGCTATTTTAGCACAGAAGGGGAACGATGGTCGCGAACACGTCATCGAGTACGGACAGAAGTTTCGCCTCGTGACAGATCACGAACCTCTGCTGGCATTAAAGAAGCTCACCAACTACACAGGCATGATTGGTCGTTGGGCGGTGCGATTGCAAGAATACGACTTCGATATCGTCCATCGAACGACAGAGCGACACGGCAACGCGGACGGACTGACACGTCTGCATCGACCTGCCAAGGTACCAAAGGGCGAGGAAATTACACCGTGGAAAGAGCCGGACCTGACCGACGAGCCGAAATACGGACAAGTGGCGGTTCTTCCACGTGGCAAGAAGTGAAGCGGTGGCGATGGGTGATGGAGGTAACCCCACTACCCCTCTTTCCCCCCCTTCCTCTTCGTCTCTTCTCTCCCTGCCTGACAAATTTTGCTATTTTTGCGAGGCTATCTCCCGCGTATACGAGGTCTCCATGCGGCCTAATGGAGAAGGGTATGCGGATTGGATAGATTGCCGACAGTGTGTTGCACGAGCCCATGGCTCGTGCATCCAATACAAAAACGATAGTAAACCATGGTTGTGCCCCTTGTGCCGGACAAACAAGATTCCGACTGAGGCCCGCTTTTTGGATGCCACGTCGGAAGGATTGGAAAAGACCCGAAAGTTTAGGAGGGCCGAAGTATGGACGGATATTGCCTTAATTGCCACCCAAGTAGGTAACCCCCTCCAGGATTTCGCCAAAGAAGATCGGAGGAGGGCCAACGAAAGGGCTCAGAATTATCGATGGATAGAAGGTAGATTGGAAAAACGAAAAACGAACGGCAGTGGGATTTGGATGGTAGTGCTGCATCCGTTCATGCGGTATGATTGGGTTAAGACAGCTCACGAGGAAATTGCAGCCCATTTTGCCGTACGGATCACGGACTCCGCTATCGACAAAAACGAGTGGTATTGGTCCAATATCCGCGACGATGTGAAATACATTGTCGCCAACTGTCAGGTCTGCACCGCTGACAAGGCGTCGATCCAACCGCCCAGATCGATAGTGCCCACGGTTGTTGAACGACCATTTCAAAGAGTGAGCATGGACACTACCGACATAGTGGTGCCCCCTGGCCCTAATAGTTGCGAGTATTCAGTCTTATTGGTATTTGTCGACCATTTCTCGAAATGGATCGAAGCGTATCCATGTCGCACGCGGCAAGCCACGGAAATCGCGCGATATGTCAACGGTTTCCTCGGAATGCATCAAGATACGGAAGAGATCCTGGCCGATAACGGAGCGGAATTCAGGGGAGAAGTGTTAAAGAACCTGGTCATGCATGGCGTCGCCATACGGAACACCGCACCCCACATGTCGCAATCCAACGGGCTGGTCGAAAACGCCAACCGAGTGATAAAGACTGCATTACGACGAAACATTGCGGCCCGGGATCCGAGGCCCTGACCCGATATCGTCGATCATATCCTGGCGGTCCATCGCGGAACTCCCCACGAATCAACAGGGCTAAGCCCCTTCCAATTAAGGACCAATAGCGTCGCTTGCGTTTCAATACCAAGCCTCCCCGACGAGTCTACCTTGAACCGACGGCCCACCAGGGCCACGGCTAGGGACAAGGCCAAACGACACCTAGAGCTAATGGAACGGTCACTGCCCAGGCTAGCCCCAAAACGACAGAAAAAGACCGAACTGGCCCAAGGCCAACAGGTCCGGAGCTACGAAGCCCGAAATGGGAATGCGGGTCCGCGGACCCAGTACAAATTAGGGGACGTGGTGCAGGTAAGGAAATGTGCTCGCCAGGGTAAGCTAACGCCACGATTCTTCGGGCGATATCGCATGACCGAGCTCGGCCCCAACGGCGTGAACACCGTGCGTCTCGCCCCGGAAGTCTCTGGCAGTCGATCGGCTCGTCCGATCACACGCCACGTGTCCTATCTCCGCCCCCTCCCCTCTGCTCCGACTCCTTCTCCCTCTTTTTCTCTCTCTGAGGAAGCCGAGGACGACGGCTCTGCCTCTCTGGCATCTCCCTCTTCCTCTTGCTCCCTCTCTGCCTCCCCGTCACCATCGCCATCGCCATGAGTTTTCTGGAGGAGAGAGCCCTCAGCGAAGCAGCGCTTGCGCCCCGTGATCGACTAACAATCCGGCAGGTCTATCATCCCTACCTCAGTCCAGACCTTCGGCGACTTGTGCACTTCTTCTGCACGGAAGGTGTATACGCCGCGGCGGTGTTCAGAATAGGAGGTCGGCCCAACGCAATGGTACTGGCCGAGGCAGTAGCGGTTCATCAGCGAGCGGTACCAGGTGTCAGCCGCATATCAGTCGTCATCAACTTCAGTGGCGATCTTTCCACACTCCTCCCTTTACGACATTCGGTGGTGAGGACATCGCTGCGTGCGTGGGCAAACGACCTGGTCGCCGAGTGGACCCAGCTTCTGGCTCGCCCCGGGGACACGGTCACGACGACACGAGCAATCGAATACGACGGCCTTCGGATGTACCAACGTGATCCGTCGGCGATCCTCCCTGTTGTTGTTCCTTTCCCTCGCCCCCAATGAGTCTTTTTTCGATCTCCATTTTTGATCTCCCCTCCACCTTCCCCACCTTCTGGCAGTCCGATATCCATCCTCGCCTTTCCTACTGCCTAACGACCCTTGTTGTCCCCGACATTCGTCTCCCATATTGGAACCTGTGGCGCGAAGACTTCGTCGAGCTTTCGCTGTGCTTGGTTGAGGTACGGCTGACGTGGACCGGGGACGAAGCGCACCCGCCTTGCGTAGAGCCACTGTAGTTACTGTTTATCCAGGCCTGGCGCACCAACGTGGAGGGAGAACTCCTCGTGTTCTTATTCGGGACAGTACGGCCCGGTCATCAGGAACTAATCACGCAAGAGCTCACGATCCCGGTAGCGCAGCTGGCGGACGATCTCCCTCTTGACGTCATCTCGCAAGACGACGAGCATCCAGTTCCCCATGTTCTTTCTCGCACCTTGACACCTCATCTTCAGTGGTCGGCTTGCGTAGAAGGAGTCGCGGAACAAATCCCGCCGTCGCATCGACAACATTTGGATCCCCGGGCGATTCGCGACCCTGCCTTCTTCAGGCAGCCTACGGCGGAACAGTTTGCTGCCTTTCGGGAAGAAGAGGAGGAGGAGGAGAGTACCGAGAGCGACAAAAACGGAGGCGGGCTGGAAGAAAGCGGAGGTAGCGAAGAAGTATCCGGAGAAAACGAAAACCCCGAAGAAGGAAGTTATAGCGAGCACAGTGAGGGGGAACAAAGCGAAGAAAAAGAAGAGGACGAGGAGGAAGATGAAGGGCACGAAGAAGAATCTGCCGGATCAGAGTGGGAAGCCGTGCCGGAAGAAGCGCTGCGCACAGGTACAGAAGCAGAGGACCCCGAGGCAGCCCGTAAAAGAGAGGAGATCGCGGCCAGGAAGACGGAGTTAGAACTCGCAGGCGCGGCGAGTCTGCAGATCTGCGACGACCCGAACCGAGATCCGGAGCCGCCCCAACCTGAAGATGGCAACATCGAGGCCACGACTCCGGCCCCATCGGCACGGCGATGAAGCCGATCCCCTTCCTCCCCAACCCGTCCCCCAGTTCGCAGACGTACCGATACGGGCGATCGGCCTTTGTCCCCGATCGCTCTCTCGCCGTCCCCTTGACTACCTCACCCTTCGCCAACTCACCACCCCCGTCACGTTCCCCTCCAATCCGTTCCCCCGCAGTACCTACTTCTACGCCGCTCGCCTCGCTGTCGTATTGCATGATTGAGGTTTATTGCGTGATATCGGGGACCATCCCCGCATGCGACGCGATCGTTTCCCTGTGGCGCTCTTTCGAACCTTTACCACCCTCTACCCCGACTATCTCTCGTCCCTCCCTCGCACTGGCAATTGATTCCCCCGTCTCCATCGCATTGTCCGTTACCAAGAACTCCCGGAGACTGCAGCTGGGATGGAAAGGTTCCTGCCCCCGCTACCCCTAAGCCCTCCGCCCCGCCATGCCGCCATGTACCAACTTCCTTTCCCCCTCCCGGTTAATTACTGATGCAGCAGGTAATGGACGCGTGTCGCGGCGACGACACGAGGAAGATCCCGTCCTTGAATTGTCAAGAGCCCAATCTGAGGAGATAGTAAAAGAGCCAAGTTGCCACGTTGGATGACGTCCACACGCAATCAAATGGTAAGTGGCATAAAGAGAAGTGCTCCGCGTGTCGATCGATTAGAAAAATCGACACGTGTCAACAAGCAAGCAGGAGCTTGCTAATATTGGAACCCCCTGGGCGTCACATATATGATGAACCACTTTCTGTAGCGCACGAGTTTCTGCGCGGTTGCAACAAGGGGTCCTAAGCTGGGAAGATTGGGCCGCTTTCGGGAAATCGGGATCGGTGGAAAATTGCATCTGTACCCTTGCTTCTTTATCTTTTTCATCGCTTCTTCGGGGCTGGGTGTGTCCGGGTACGGCCGGTTGGGAGATTGGTCGGATGGATGTCTGGCGCGCCACCACGCGCGCGATTAATAAATGCTGACGACGTTTTTTTCGTTTCGGGTTCGATCTTTTTGGGCGAGGAAATCGCGCGGGAAATTGTTTTGTTCTTTTTGAATTTCCTTTTGAATCTTTTTCGAATTTTGTCGAGCCTCGATGGCTCTCGGAATTTTGGATTTTCTTTCTGGAATGTATGCTTTTTGCTTTTTCACACTAGATAGGAATTTAGGAATTTAGTAATTAGGACTTTTTTTGCCGCGCTGCACCTTTTGTCTACGCGCTTTCTCATGCGGCTGCAACGGTACTCTGATTAGTGGGCGCCCTTAATCGTGTGTGTAACTGCAATTTTGGGCGGGCGCCATTGTAACTGTATCTCTCTTTTTACACTTCGTCTCTCTCGCTCTCCCTCTCTTTCTTTTGCTCTGAGTCGCGGCTTGCATGCTCGGATCGATGCGTGGAGAAGGGTTATRTCCCCCACGCCGCAGCCGATCATGCAGAACGCAGGCGCTCCCTCCCTAATCCAGTCTAAGTCCTGGTAATTCCATGTTCTTCGCGCATGCATGCACGCTATAAATTTCGGTTGCGCGATTAGTCAGCTCTCTTGACCTGTTGTTGGAAGCTCGGGGTTGCGCGATCAGGAAGGGTCGGCACACGAGCGAAGTAAGAGGTGAGTAGAGTAGGAGTTGGGCGACCCGACGGGCTGGTGCCGAACGCGCGGGATTGACGTGGGCCACGACGGACTGTGGGCACGGGCGAATCCGACGGGTGCGGGAGGACTAAGCGGGGTGACAACTTCGTGGGTTGGTGCGTGACGACGGACTGTCCGCATCGGAGAGAGAGAGAGAGAGAAGGAGGGAGAGTTGAGGTCGATGGACGTGGATTTGCTGTTTCTTTGTCTCTTCCCCCTCTTCATCTGTGTACATACATTTTGATTACGACTCCGGGCGGTTTGCCCGTTCTCATTTTCGTTTTCGGCTTTCGGGAATCGAGACTTGGGTTTTTTTTTGCTCACACTTGTCCTTGCCTTTGTCCATCTCGGTTGCGTGACATGTATGATTACTGAGTGTATGGATGTATGGATGATATGCTTGCGCACCTATATCACTGTTGAGAATCCCGATCCTTATCTTTTGTTTGTGTCGAATCTTTGCTCACACCTGATGAAGCTGTAGATGGAATAAGGATCTGGCACCGATGGCGATTTTGTCCTCGTTTTTGCTTATCTCGCGCTTGGGGGGGGGGGGGGTTGATATGGTCATATCTTGCACAATCCGAGGCAATTAAACGACATGAGGATTGACCCCACGAACGCCGCGCGAGAATACGTGTGAACGCGATCCGAGTCGCGCCCTTACACGCATTCTCGTGCGTCGATCCGCTCACCCAAAAAGATTCACGGCGAAACCATCATCCCGTACAAGCACGGCACCACTAGGGTTGCCTGCCCTGCGCGTACTTGTGCGTGGTGACGACATCCCTACCGAGCTGACCCATCCACGATGATACCATGACGCGATCTTGGAGCTCAGACTCATCCTACGACCCGGACTATTTCACCCCTATGATAAACGAACTCATAAAGACGCGATATCCCTGTCACACGGAGAATAGGCTATGTCCGCGGGAATTTCACTGCGCCACCTCTAGCGACCCTCGGTGCTCTGATTTCCCTTCTCCCGACCACACCTAGTACTTCACCCACCCGGGATTTGTTGTCATCACCACCAGTTTCCCTCCTTTCCGCCTTCTTCTCCCGTACCATCAACTCAGTGTCGTCCCGTGGCCGGCCATAGCCCCCTATTGGCCCGACACGTTTTGCGTGAATTGCCGACGTAGCGGCGAACAGAGAACTCCGAAATTTCGCAGGCCCAACCCAGGCGCGCGGCAACCTGCACCACGTGGTGGCCCCCGCCGGCCTAACTTTTCAGGACCACCTCCACGACGGAGGGATTTCCCCGTAACCCGTCGACCACCGTGTCCGGGCCCCTTTGGACCATGAGACCCTTGCGCACGCACCTCTCATTCGCCTAATTGCATTCATACCCTTAAGACTCCCCCACTTTCCCAAAAATTATTGGCACACCCCTTTTCGCACTTCCAGGCCCACATCCCACTCCGATCAGGAAGTCGCGCTGGGAAAGAGGTTGGGCGTCACAGTAACACCCGTTAATTGGTGTTTTTCTGCCCTCTCCACCGTCAGGGCCACCGCCTTTTTCTTCAACCTAAACTGTTGGAGATGGATTCCCACTTTCGGGCGGTATTGATACACGGGAATGAAGTTCCCTTGCCTCCCTTGTCCCTTTCATCCCAGTAACAAAGGTTCAACTCTAAAGTTGTTTGGGTCCCGCAGGAAGGTGACATTCTCCTTCCTTTTAAAATTATGATAATGCACTCTTACTTCCACTATGCTTTCTGTATTACTAATGTGTTCATCTTTATTTACGAATGTGAGCTTGCCAGAAAATGCAGGACCTGCCTCTGTGGTCCATCTCTGAACTCTGACTCCTGTAGCTAGATCCGGGCCCAGAACCTGCAGTATTTGGTTCGAGTAGCCGTATGACCGAAGCCACTTGCCCGCAGCATGCTCCACATCCGGCCGAAGAAGCGTTGTCCAAGCCCTTGCGACTACTTTTATAAGCTCCGAATAGTGCTTAGCCACGTTGTGCACCCGTGGCAAACGCCTTCGTACCTGAGATATGTCCAGAAAACAGGAGTGATCCGAGTCCCAGATGTCTTTGAGGTGTAAAATTCCTTTCTTTATCCAATTAAGCCCGAAATCGCCCGCAGACTCCGCAACTGAGAAGCAGCTGCCCCCCGGTCTCAAGATCAATGGAGTCTCAAAAAGTACTTGGTTTAAAACCTCCTGCTTGGAATTAGGGGGAAGATCGTCAGACGGCTTAACTTTATTTCATGCCCCCATGATACTCTTCCAAGTCTTCAAGTTAGGTTTGCGAGCGCAGAAAGACGGCAGCAACATGCATATCCAGACTTTGGAATGGTCCTGCAATTCCCATTCTGTCCCCAGAATATACTCCGCTAGATTCATCCAAATCTTGGGGCTGGCTTCCATCATTGCCTGTATAGGTCATTTGGCCAAGAGGGTTGTGTTCTGTTGTAGTGGGTCCAGGATCCGTACACCTCCCTTCCTCCTTGGAGTGGTCACCACCTCCCAAGCAACCTTGGATAGGAATCCCCGATCCTCTGTTACTTCCGGTTTCCATAGATACTTGGTTGCTGCGCACTTGATTTTCTTGTATGCTTCTCCTCTCAAAGCATGTATCAACAAAGGAAACCTTAATATTGAGAAGGCTGAGGTGAATAGCACCAGTGCCCGCCCCAAAAGGGAGAGGCGAGAGCGGCGTTCCCATCCAGCAATCCGTGTCACCATCCTATCTGTCAAGATATTGTCTTGAACTATGGAGCAATCTGTAAAGGAGACTTACAAGCCAAAAAATCTATCAGGAAAGTTCGCTGGGATTTTGCGGGTACCCCAATCCACACAGATCTCAAAGGGCGGGGGAAGGAAGAATGCAGACTTATCTCAGTTTATTAAGGCTTAAGACAAATAACAGTACTCATCTAAGTTATTCCTTAAGGCCGTGAAGCTAGTAATTGAGTTGTCACAGCCTACCGTCGAGTCATTTGCAATGGCGCCCCCTCTCCACTGCACGGTAGGGGACTCACGGGGTCCTCCAATATTCAGGTTTGATCTTATATTAGCTATTAGGATTTCTAATTGTAATACAAGAATAAGGGGTGCCAAAGGGCACCCTTGCCTCAGGGACCGAGATAGCATGAATTCTTTAGATTGAAGGCCATTCACTAAAACCATTGCAGTAGCATTCGAGTACATGGCTTTGACCCAAGTTCGAAAATGGTCCCCAAACCCCATGTTGAACAATGAGGTATTCACGAAAGTCCAACCGACTTTGTCGTAGGCTTTCTCCATGTCCAACATTAGTATGGCAACTTCCCTCTTTTTTTTGCCAATAATCTCAAGAGCTTGTACCGTAGCTAAGATGTTGTCAAAAATCAACCGCCCTTTGACAAAGGCCTCTTGCTCCAATCCCACAAACTCTGGGAGCACTGAGGATAGTCGCATGGCTAAGATTTTTGCCAACAACTTGTACGATACATTTAGGACCAAGATAG